TACACAAGTACAATGAACATAAGAATTTTTCGACAATTTGTGATGTTTCACATTTTTACATTTTAGGATGGATTTTAGAATAAATAAAATTCTCAAAATTTTGGAAAATTATAAAAATTTCTAAAATCTCAATAATTTGAACATTTCAAAATATCCTCATTTTGCCAAAATTTCTAGAATCTCCCGGATTTCGATAGTTTTTGAAATTTTGGAAATTATCCTAAAAATAAGAACTCTCAAGAAATTTAATAGTTTTATAAAGTTCAAAATTTTGGAATTTTCGTTGTTTTCTACCTGTGATAATATTGAAACTTGCTGTGACTTTCAACTGAGCAAAATAATACGAATTCGAAAATACAATAAAAAAAGTAATAATTTAAAATTAAGTACATAATTTCAAAATTTTGAATATTCAGTGAATTCGAAAAACTGATAGCCCTACTCAAATAACATGATACTGCAAGCTTAGCACAGAGCTAAAATTTCAAATTCAAGTGAAATTTGGCACACTTTTTTCATAAATTAAGAAGGGAAATTTACCCTCAAATCTCAATGTTTTAAACTTGCCAGAAGGGTCCTTAAAAATGTTTAGCTTTGGCCTAAAATATTATAGAGGGGAGTCACAAAATAAAACAAAATATTGAATTCGATTAGAAATTATAATTTTTAATTTTTTGATGTATCCTAATACATATACTACATACGTACATAAGTTTATAAGCAAATTCGTCGAAAAAAGCGTGATTATACATATTGTACAAACTTACATGCATATGGAAATCGGTACATATTGCTAGGCAAAAACATATCTCACAATAATTGCGAACAAGAGCCTTTGGCGATATTATGTCGCTGCCTCAAATCGGACGTCATTAATCATTGAAATGTATCTCAGAATATGTGGCTATTTGGCTGATTGAGTTTCTGACTTGTGTTGCTCTGCTTCGCTTTATTCAAATGTTGTTTAACTACGTAAATGAAAAACATACTTAGGCATACATATGTATGTAGATATATACACATGTGCATAAACATAGGCGGAAAAAAGAAAAAAAAAATAATAACATTAAAATTATTGTTGCAGAACAAAGCGGAACTCATTTGCAACACCAACGCCGCTTTATTTCGTAACGAAATTCCTAATCATTACTTTGAATTCTACGTAGGTACATATATACATATATATAGGTACATATGTATGTATTAGAGTGTGAAGCGACTTATAGGACACCCAGCGGCATAGTAAAATATATAGCCAATTAGCAACAAGAGCGAAGTAAATAGAAATCATTAAGAGACACCAACGCAGTTAATGCGCGCAGCTGCCCTATGTACATTAGGGTGGTAAAAAAAAAATACAATTAAATGTTAAGTTCTTACCCCAAGGATTTTTTGAATGGAAACAAAGAATATCTGTATTTTTTTTTAAGAATAATATTTATAACTGTCTTAAAGCCCATGAAGTTTTCCAGTGGTCGAAAAAAATAATAGAAACTTTTCATTTTTACCGGTTTTGGCTATATTAAATTTGTTTATTCGTTTAAAAGTGTAGCGCCTTATATAGCAAGCAACTCTGTACAAAAATTATAAAAATTCAGCAAAAATTTTACCGAAATCCCTTAAAAATTTCAAACTTTTTATTTAGAATGTTTAGAAAAATAGGTTTCCAGTTTTTAAGAAAATTCCTAGCAGCCTCAGCAAAAAAAATATTAAAAATCAACGCGATCTTCTAGCGTCTTGAAATTTTCACTTTATCCTACTAAAATTTAATGGGCTTTAAAACTGCAAAATTTTACTTCAAATTTTAGAATAAAAAGTTTGAAATCTTTGAGGGATTTTGGTAACATTTGTTGAATTTTTATAATTTTTGTACAAAGTTTGAAATGTGGATTTAGACTGCGCTTGTTATATAATGCGCTAAACTTTTATAAAAATATATTAAATAGAAATACAGTCAACATAAATTTTCTATTATTTCTTCCACCACTATACATGGAAAACTTTGAGGCAGTTCTTAATATCGCATATTTTTTAAACAAAAAAATACGGAATTATTTTTGCATTTAGAAAAATCATAGGCGGTGAAAGATTAACATTTTTAACTTTTTGTTTACCCCCAGCGCATGTATTTTTGGACCACCCTAACGAGCAACCATAAATACCAAAAGCCAACCTAAGTAATGCAACAACAATGCGCATGTTTTGAAAATCTTATTAGCGTCATTGTCATTTGCTTCAAATATTTGTAGAATATTTACAAGTTTCTTTGACAGTATTTCTTGTATTTTGACATATTTTCGTAACCTTTTGTTTGTTATTAAACCTTTATGTACTTCCTACCTGTCGAACTTGCTTTCATAAAGCCCATATGGATGCATGTACTTACAAGCGTTGCACCGACGTGGGTGTTTGGTATTGGTTTTTTTTTTCACAGGAATAAGAATAGCTACGTATGGATATACTTGCACCATTTTATTCTATTTTAACGAAATGCGTTGATTTTTGATAATTTTTTTTGGCCAAAATCATCGCGATTTTTTAGGAACTTAAAACTTGCAATTTATTTTAGTGGGCTATAAAACCGCATAATAAAAAAAAATCTGAAAAATCTGCGTAAATAGTCGAACATTTAGATGCTCCTAATGATTTTAACGAAATTTTGTATTTCATTAATGTTTGCATTCTAAGATTATTTGTATAGCTAGCTCACCGATAACATTCATATAAGGTTGCCACCTATTAAAAAATTAGTTACAAATAAAACAAAATATCATAATATGATTATCAATTGGAAAGTTTTCTAAATCTCCCCAATCTAGAAACATTTTTATATAAGGTTGCCGCCTATTCCTCATCGTCTACTTATTTAATTTTTTTGTTTAGAAAATTTAGATACAATATTATTAGTTATAGGTAGTAAAAGGAAGCTCTGCTTATAAAGTAAGTGTTATTCCCTAGGATATTAGTTGCCACTTATTTTCGATTAAACAAAATTTAACTAAAGTAACTTAATATGGATATCAAATGGAACATTAATTTGAGCACATTAATCCAGAAATATTTAGTAGAGTTTTGCCTCTTTCACAATAAAAATTTGTAATTTATTAATTTCAATGCACATTTTTTTGCTTGTAAGCAAGTATGTATATTCATTACGTATACACCCAAAATATGTACTCTTCTCCCGCCGTATTTTTTAATAGGGTTGCCACCTAGTTTTTGATGTAAGATATTTATTTCATTTACATGTTAGATTAAAAAACAATTTTTAGAACTATTTCAAAATATTTATTTTTATAGAATCCTGAGGAACTCTAAATATTTCAAAGTGTATTTTTTTCATTGTCTTTCACTGAATACTGAGATATTCATTACGCTAAAATATTAACGCATTGATAATAGTTTTTTTTATCGACATAATTTTTATGTATGTAAATTTACAGTACTTATGTAACAAATTCCATTAACAATTTTACATAAGAAACTATTTTTGAATTTTACATAACTAAGTATTTATAAACTATCACAGTGCCCATTATTTGATACCCAAACCCTGAAAACTTAAAAAGTATATGCACTCCGAGCAAAGGTCGATCAACCTGGAACTACATGATAAATTGACAAACTTTTCGTAGTCTATAGGATCTCTTTCTGAGGACAGCAGTTACACCAAACGAAAGCTATTAGTCCCCATATTAAGATATTGAAATATTTGGGGGCAATAATTTTTTTGCACTTCGCACCATGCAACCGATTTCAATGAAATTTGAATAATTTGCTCGGGAAGGGACTATATTTCCCAATAGCATATTCAGTCCAAAGAATCTTGACCTTTCCAATGACCTAACATTTATTCCGTTTCTAACCTAAAAACAATATGCAATGAACTTTTGAAAAACTTTTAAACATACATAAGTTTTGGCTATATTTGCGTCAAGGAATCCATTTCTATGGCTACAAGAACCGCAAACATTTCCACTTTTTTTTAATTCACTGCTTACTGTTTTTACGCAAAAAAGAAACACAAAAAATACAAAATTTTTCTTTTGGAGGTAATTTTGAAGTTCTCATTAAATTAAATGTTATTTTGACCTTACAAATAACCCTGAAAAGTAAAATTTTTGATTTGTTTTCCTTTTGTTGACATGAAAACAGCACACAGCTGCAGAAAATTTGCTCCGTAACTTAGACAAAATACATGACAGACTCAAAATCGACACTGCAGACCCTAGCTAACACTTATACAAATTTGTAAGTTCCAAATATTTAAAGCTGGCACCAATTAGAACAGGAACCCTTCAAGGGAATTCATTCTCCTGGTGCAATGCAGGTCTAGTATGCAGGACTGGTATCGAGGAGGTTGTTGACAAATTTGAATTTCGGGTAGAGTTGGTTTGTGTCAGCTTGATGTGGAGTTGCAACTGAGTGTAGGAGCCAAAGTGAGACAGAGGTTATGGATAAGCCCAAGCTCTAATGTGTGTATTCCGCACTGTCGATTGATAACGACAATGGTTTGAGTGGCAGATAGTCCTTCTTTCGAAATGTGTGGAAATATCCAACTAACTTGTCTACTAACAGGTTTTAAGAATTTTTCCCTGAGAAAGACTACTCTAGCAAATATCAAAGGACTCAGGAAGGTGGTATTATATGAATAGAATTTTTAAAAGCTTTGAAAGGGCTTTGCCCGCAGGCAAGCTGATGCCCACCACGGCTTTAAACTAATAGCAAGATTGATAACCAATTGATTAATTAAATTCCAATTTGTTTTTTTTTCTTATAACATTTATTTACAAAAAAGTAGGGACACTCAATTGTACACAAATATAACTGTATAACTGTGTACATACATATTTACAAAATCTATGAAGATGAAAACCAACGATGAACAACTGGCAGGTACTAGAACGATAGCTCCACTTACAAATTGCCACTTTGTGCGGATGCGTTTGTATGTGTGTGTATGAATTAAATTTCAGTCAAACTCCAACAACCAACCCCCCTTACCACCAACCAGCCGAATGTGAAGTGTGTAGAGATGGCAGAGCGATGGACTTATAAATCGGAGCGGCATGCAACAATGGCGCTGTGTAAGTAGTCTTCAAAATCGGTGCAAGAATTGGCTCCACGGCAATAGCTGAGCTATGGACAACCGACGAACTCTGATGGGATACAGCGGTGGGATAGCTCTTAACTATAGCGCCGACTTTAGCCAAAACAGGCTCATGGATGACGGTAGCTGGCGCTGAGTAGAGCAAAGGTGCGTGTGAAAGGTAGCCAGGACGTGCAACCGCCACAGCGAGTAAAGTAGATAATGCAACCTGCAAGAGAGAGAGAGGAAAATGTTTTGGTTTAAAAAGGATACTTGTGGATATGATTTCGTTGAAAAGTCTATGCGTCACGTCTACTCACCAGCTTCAACATTTTGCTTTATCCTTTTGAATGTGCGACTTTTTTTTTTATTTTTGCTGGAAAATTGTAGTCTGTGGTCTGTTCTGCAGTGAATTACCGTTGTGACTGTTGATCGGTGCTGACCAACGCCTGCTCTTTTATACCGTTCAAGTAAACCAGCAAATTTCCACCAAAAAAAAAAACAGACACTGACATTTGAATAAAAATAAAATTTTAAATCTACACAGAAATGCAGAAGAAGAAAATCCACAATGAAAATAAGCAATTAAAAAAAAAAATAAAAAATAAACGAAAAAAAACGTTAAACAACAAATAACACCCGAAGTGAAAAATGCCGGGCTGGTCGCATTTTTGGTTAGTGGCAAAGCATTGGGCTGCAAATTATGACCGAATAGTGCAAAGTGGTAGGCCAGGTCGGTGGGTCGGGGGGTCGGTCGTTTTGGTTGTGCTTTATTTCTTACTTACTTACGTAGCGTTGGCTGACTTTTATTGTAAAAATGTGTGCCATATGAAAACTAAATTGTACCAATAACAAAAACAATTCAAATAGCAGCACAGTCATTTTCATTTTTCCACAGTCCAAGACTCGAAAACTTGCCATTAACCGTTACGCGCGTCGATGCCGGCTTCGCCATTCATACATATGTAAATACATTTGGATGCGCATTAGGGTGAGCTAAAAAATGTAAAGTCGGAGTTTTAATGCTCTCACCACCCAAAATTGTTCTATATCACAAAAATTATACCATTTTTTTTGAAATCAAAAAAATGTTTAGAGGTGGCTCAAAGTTTTCCAAAAAAAAGTTGTCATAGAAAAGGTATAGAATTCCTGAAATTTTTTCTTTATAGCCAATTATTTTTTAAACCATTTTTTAATATCAACTTTTTTTATAATTCCCATATAAAATCGCTAGTACTAAAAAATTATAATATAAACAATTGGGTATTATTTATTACTGAAAGCCTACTGAAGAGAAACCAAGTTTTCCGATCGAAAAATATTGATTTTTAAGATTTCTATACCATTTCACTGGAAAATGTTTTTTTCCCATATACAAAAAATGGAAAAAACAGTGATAAATTTTTTCGATATAGAGCATTCCTAGGGGGTGAGAGCATTAAAATTCCGACTTCACTTTTTTAAGACGCATTTTTGGACCACCTTAATGCATGTACATACATTCGTACATAGGTATGTAAGTTTAGTGGCATAGTGGGCCGCATTGCTTGTATGCTTTTGTCTGCCACGATAAGCTGTTGATATACTGCGGCAACAAATAAAAATTGCACTGCCTCTACTAAAAAAAAAAAAAACTTATAAACATTCTGCTACATAAAAGCATTTTTCCAAAAGCCAAACTACAAGTAAAAAGCGATCATTAAATTTGCTGCGATTGCATCACGCACACGCTTGCGCACTTGCATAGCTACATACAAAGCTAAATACAAGTATGTACAATAACTTTAATGCTCTTTGCCAGTGGCATGTTTAAATTTATTTAACTTGGCTATAAAAACAATTTCAACTGCCGTGCCTGCCGCGCCGACTGTCTTCAGTCTTCAGCCAAATAGTACATCAGGCTTGACCGTGAAAATCCACGCAGTCGCATTCGCATTTGTTTATTTGTATATTTTACGGTATTATTTTTCAAACAGCTTTCGGTCGATGCAACTATTGGCTTTTTTTTGTTGGTATTTGTTGTTTATGTTTTTGTTTTCTATTTTTACCTTTGTGGCGCCAAATACTTTTTGTGTACATTTTTTATGCAGCTAAACCCGAAATTGCATACGCACACAAACGCACATATGTACATAGAGGAAGTTTTTCAAGTTCATGTTCATGCGTTGTGCGTGTACGCAATGGCAAGACGTGTTGTTGCCCCAATTTTCAAGGTGCTGCCACAAGCAGGCTTTTCGTTAGTGCAGCTTGTGCGATTTCATAATTTGTGATTTCGAACGATATTGTTGATTGATGTGATCTTTTATCATGTGATATACTGATGTGACGTGATGTGATGATATATCACATTGTGCGATATCATGTGCTGTCTATTTGGTATGATGTGATATTAAGCATTGGAGTTTTGTGTTGCCATTTGATGTGTCGTAAAGTTATTGATAAGGAAGTGCTATAATCCGAAGTCAAAAAAGACAGATATCTCTAGAAGTCTTCTCAGTCTGAAGTGTACTTATTAAGATACAGTACACAATTTTTTTTATTTTTTTGTAGGCTAATTAGATGTTGGAAACTCTTCTTGTTTTACCTATGCAGTATTTTTTTCCAGACGCTCTAACAGTTACTCCCTTTCCCGAGCTCTTGCTTAATAGTATTGAAACTAGCATTGAGGAAGGGCTCGGGCCGATTTGAATATTAGCTGCTGCTTATCAATGACGTAGACTTCCGCCTGAAATACATATGCTCTGACATTTCCTCATAGGAGTGGACTCCTTGGTTCTGCATGCCATTGCAGAGTACCTGAATGGAGGAGTCTCTCAAGGGAGGATGTGTTGCAGGTTGCTTTGTTGTTCAGCAACTATGATTTTTGACTGCGCCATATCTTGAAAGTACAACTCGTGGGAGCGAATACCATAGTTTCCTCAAATCTTTAGAGATGTGTCTCTGGTTTCTATTTATGCCTAAAGAAAATGACCTTTCCTTTCCCATATCCGTCCCTTGCTAAATTTAGTAGAGTTCTTTAGCGGCCTAATCTATCGTTAAGTGCTTTCGTCGAACAGGTGCGCAGTGAGCCCGTTACACATACACATGCCAGTCGTTGTTGTTTAATTGGTTATATCCTGATCGCGGCTAGTTCTTGAGACACAAGCTTGTTATAGTAGGTTCTACTAATATGCTGATTCGCCATTTTAGAAATTTAGAGCTACAGGCTCACGTTTTGCCTGGAAAACGCTTTGTGAGCAGGCTTGGTCCGAGATACATTACTTCGTTGACAGTACTAGTCTCGACGCCATACATATTTATGTTCCTTACAATATAATAAAATAAAGACTGCTTTTGTAGGGTTTATGTCGAGCCGCAATTCGGACCCCACCCACCCATTCATTACTCGAAAAGCCCTTTGTACTATATCACAGAGTGTGCTCTCGAGCTTATCCGTAATAATGATGGCTAAGTCATTCCCATATATGTACTGGGCATTCCATTGTCAAAGGAATGCTGAAAGAGTTCATCCAAAACTTAGATCTACAGAAGAGGAAATAGAACCTGTCCCCTTGTGGGCAATACTTTTTAGTTTTTATTGGTACCACACTTTTGCCTGGACCGATTTCAGCAATTATAGCACGGCACTTGCAATAAGACTATCTATTTTATTCTCCATTCCTTTCAATACAAATTAGGTTAGGCTTATTGGCCTGAAAAATTTTGCTGGTGAATAATCTCTTTTACTAACATTGAGTATACAAATTACTCGTGCATTCCTCTACACTTATGCGACATAAGCAAACGCAAGACTGACCCTTATTGTGTCCCCATGTTTCAGCAGTAGCTCTTTACCGCCGTGCTGTAGCATGACTGCATGGATCTCACTTACCCCAGGGGCCTGGTAGCGCTCAAAGGAGCTTCGCGTCTATCTTACTGACCGCTAGGTGACAATGTTTCTTGCCTGTCTCCAGTCCGAGGGACGTGACTTCTTCCTTGTAATCTAAGGTAGAAGTGTTCGAAAAAATAGTGGTAAGCAGGGAAAGTGCCTGTCCTCTTTGTTACCTAAGCATGTACAGTCCGATAGCTTACGCGAAAATTCCGTTTCCACATTTCCTTTGATAATGCTTTATGTGACCCCGCGGAAGCTGGGAGTTTTGGAGATACCTTCGTAGAAAATTTTTAAACCATCTAGCGCCCTTTATGCTTGGCTTTATTTGACAGTCTGCACAATTTTTCACGGATTTCTGAGAGTTCCTAGAATCGCGCTGCACTAAGAGCCATTTTCACAGCTGCAGTAGCAAAGTACTTGTCGGGGTGTCTCATTGGTGTAGGGCAGAAGCTCAACAAAACCTACATAAAGACCAACGTGTTATTCGATAGAGTTACGGTCTTTGATTGTTTCCTCGCACCCAATGAAAACTAACCTAACCTGAACACACTGCTAAACTATACAATTTGTTGAAGCGTAATAGAGCCTCAGAAAATACGAAAACGGAGGACTGTCCAATCATACACATGTCTCTGGAACTTCTTCTTACCCAGGTTGAGGATCAATAACAGGACGAATGCAGAGCGTTTGCTCTGCTCTAAAAAATCTGGCTATGAAAATTACTCAAAGGGGACCTGCTCCTAACCGAGTTTTCTTTAATTAGTGATGTTAACGAATTACTAAACTATACATATACATAACCGAATCACATATAATACTATAAGGAGACACTGTATTAAGAAAGATAACTCAGCTTATGGTTCCGAAACTGGCCTAGATGTTAAACAAAAAGTAAGCAATAGTTAAATATGAATTTGAATAGCAATCTACAACCCTATAAATGGCAGGAGCAAATAGTTACGCAGCAATATCGAAAGATTCACCTTAAGTTCTTTTACAAAAAAAAAAAAAAAATTTGAAACAAATTTTAGAGGCTTGTTTTTATTTTCTAAGCAAACATTTTAATTATCACAAATTGAAGGTACTTTTGACATAAACGAAAAAAAAATTAAGAGAACAAAAAAGGAAATTATCATGTCCAACAACTGGTCCAAAATTTCATATCACAAATCGCGCCGAATTTACCACGCCTTGAGTATCACAGGTGCAGCGATGGTCTTCACAATGGGCGCTGAATAAGTATGCACGACTGGTGCCGCAGCCACATAGCTAGTCTTGATGACTGGTGCAACGATTGGTTGCACATAGTGTGCCGAGCTATGAACAACCGATTGGCTTTGATGGGAGACGGCAGTAGGGATGCTCTTCACCACCGAACCAACTTTGGTGAGAACGGGTTCGTGTACGGCAACAGTGGCAGCGGGTGCCGCCGAATAGACGACTGGATGAGATGCGATGAAACCTGGAGCAGCAGCAGCTACAGCGAGGAAAGCAGACAACACCACCTGTGAAGGAACAGAGTAAAATATTAAATATTATTGAATAAAACGCAATGTCTCCTGCATATCTACATACCAACTTGAACATTTTGATTTAAATTTTTTTTGGGAAGGTCTGTGTTGTGCTATGTGAGTTCACAAATTCAACTGATGACTGCTCCGAATGCAATACAACTTTTTATAGCAAAAATATTTGCATTGAAATTATGTCGCTTTATTGATTTATGGCAACAGTTATTGCAAAATGCGAAAATATGTGTGTATATATGTACGCACCAAGCATTTGCAAATCACAATAAACGCATTAAATTGTTATATCTCCGAAAGGCCAAAGAGCTCAAGATAATAGCAACCCAAGAGTCAAACAGTAGCAGTCACGTCAGCTCGGCATGAAGGAATATTTCAATTTGTTTTTGCTTTTTTTTTTTATTTTTCACATTTTTTTCTTCGTTTAATAGTTACGGATTTTTTATGTTTTTGTTTTTTTCTTTTTGTTGACCTCCAACACGCACTGAAACTGCAAGTAATGCAGCCGTTAAGGCACTTTTTTTTGGGCTGAAGGTAGTGATAAGATCTCTAAAAAAATTGTAACGCACGTAAACACAAGCAAATTGCTAGGCTGCTAATAAGCTAATCAAAACCAATTTCGAGGAAAATTAAAAAAATTATATTAAAGTAAATTAAATAATAATAAGAAAGTTACATTAAGAAGTAAACAACTTTACATCGCTTGAATTTTTTTCTTAATGTTATCAAAATACAAAAAAAAAAAATATTGAGTGCCTTAAGTCAAAGTTTGTGCAATATTTAATAAATCTTCTGTTTTCTCAACCAATCGACTTAGTGCCCTCTTCTGACTAAAGATTTGTTTCAGGCAACAATATATGTTTACGCTGCAATTAAATTATGTTTTCGCCAGCTTGGTCTGGCTCTCTATCTACTAGAATTTGTTGTTAATATTAGACTTCAGCCTCAATCCATTTCATTGGCCAGGAATCTTCCGTAGGAAAAGGCAAAAGACGAGGGTGAATCTCATAGAAACCGCTACTGGGACAATGACCTCTTGCTAATCGACTAGTTGACCAATTGGTTAATCGATTAGCTGATGTTGTTTAAACAAATAATCGACATTGCTTAATCGATTAATCATTTCTTCCAGGTCTAAAGCATATTTCACAAAATAGTCTAAGCAACGCCTGAACTTATCCAAAAATAACTTCGGAATTATCAAAGGAGTTCTTTCAGAATATTTCGGGTGACCTATCACTTAACTAAACTTGGAATTAACTCACACCAGCGATGTAGATTTTGCAGGCCATTTCTCTGGGATAGTGAATTCAAAATAATAATATGTTTGGCAGAACTTATACTACAATTTTTGGTGGAAGTCTTGTTGTTGTTACACAAATGTAGTGACCTACAATTTTACGCGGCACAGTGTTCTATTTTTGAAAAAAAATAGGCAAAACCAAATATCTAGAACGAGAAGAAGCAGCGAAATAAATGTAACGGTAGTTTAAAGGTTTTGAGATGAAAAATTCAGGCAAACTTGTCTTGTTGGATCGAAGAATTACCATGATCATTAAAGATAGAAGTTTTTAAATGTTTAATTTTGTTTAATTTTTTTTTTTGCCTGAAACCAGTCTGCAATGTACTTTTAAAAAATTTTACACACAAAGAGTTGTAGTGTTCTGGTGCCAAGGAATTCATTTCCATGGTTATAAAAATAAAAAAAACGCATCAAATTTTTTTTTTCAAAAGTCAGCGTATAGTATTTTTTAGGTCAAAAAAAGAAAAAAAAAGAAACAAAATTTTACTAATGAAGCGCGGTCTCGAGGTGAAGATAATTTTTCGTTCGTTTTCGTATGTATTCTTTTAAATTACTTGTGAAGTTAGTCTCTATATATACAAACGTATTAAGTTTTTTAATTATCTTTATAGGTGGCAACTCTAATTAGCTAACTTTGGAATAAAATTATATACAAAAACTTGTTATCTCATACCAATACCTATTTCATATTATATTTGATATAACTACACAAAAAGAAAACTATTTAAAACCTAGAAATGTGGCAACCCTCTTACAACGTGATTTTAAAATAATTTGGTATAAATACGTAAAGTGAAGTGAAGAGAATTTTGCAAAAGTATTTCATCTAACTCACAAATAAAATTTAATGTTTCAAAGAGATGGCCACCCTTTTTGAAAATATTTTCCCAATTCAATTTTCTTTAACTCCCTTCATTTAATACAAAAATTGCATTATTTTATTTAAACCAGTGTTTTAACTAAATTTGACTCTTTAAATAGGTGGCAGCCCACTTTAAAAATACTATAGAAATAAAGCTTTCTCAAACCTCTTTCATTTGTAATCGGTATTGTATTATTTAATTTAACTAAATAATTTCACTAATGTGACACCATTTAACTAAAAATTAAACTTAAATATGTAGACTATTTAAATAGGTGGCAACTCTCCTCAAAACTATAACAATCCTTCTTTGTCTGTCAGTTATATTGTAATACTTCCTATGAAATTGAATTTTATTTTTTAAACAGGTGGCAACCCTATTCAAAAACTACCTGCATATTAGTCTATGTTTTTGTAATCATAGCTGAATACACATTTTTGCCTCACTATTACATATATGTATGTTTTGGTAAATATTTAGTAATTAAGAAAGATTTATGTATTTTACCTGCTCTACATTTGCAACTCAGCCACCAACCAAAATCCCCCCTGCGTTCGCCCCTGTACTCGTATTGTACAATGTATTTTTTAACTAATGCATTCTCTATTCAAAATGCACTTTTGACTGCATTATATGTACCATTATAGAGAAGGTTGGTCACGTTTGAAGAGTTCAAGGTGGCTGCGCATGCGTAACCAGTTACAACACTTTCAACGTCTATTATGTAATGAATGATTGATACAAGTTCATGACTTCTGCAGTAGAGTTTGTTAGAAGGGCTTCTACTTAGCATGATTGCTGTCATAAAAAGAAAGATAAAAAAGAAAGATAAAAAAGAAACAAAAACAAGTTGTGTACTTAACAATTACAACAATAATTTTTTTTAGGCATTTTCATTGGCTTAACTGAGAACACACCCGTATATTGGTAAGCACGTGTTGACACAAGCACATAAGCTGCTATGTATTTCCAATGGCTTGTAAAGAAGTTTGACAACACCCACAAAAAAAGGTAAAAAAATATACTTAAGTATGTACGGATAAAAATATTAAAAGCATATCACAGCGTATCGATTACTTTTCAATTGCCCAAACGACTTAAAGTAGATAAAAAAAAAAATCGAACCGATTCAAGTTTGATCTGCACTGAAGGCCGTTTTGGGTACTCGAAATGCGAGCACAATTAGTACTCAAGTGATTTTTTTTTGCAGTTGACGAATTTCTTTCCAACAACTTATGATAAATTTTTTATAAATTTTTTTGCCTTAAGAAATAGTATTTAGGAATGTATGTGTGCAAATACCTTTCTAGCACCTTGATCGATATAAAAAGGCACGCTTTGACATTTTGGCCAGTAGTTCTCGCAACAACTTTCTCACAGTCAATACAGACCTACAAGTAACAAAATCCAAAAATCAAAATGTTCAAGTTGGTAAGCATTTGCAAAAGGATATACTGATTTTAAATTTTAATTCGCGCAGGTTGTGGATTTCCTTTTTTTCTGAATTAATAATCCTTTTCTCCAACCAGGTGGTATTGTCTGCTCTCCTCGCCGTAGCTGCTGCTGCTCCACATGTCGTCCAATCGCCAGTTGTCTATTCTGCGCCCGCAGCCGCTGTTGCCGTTCAAGAGAATGTTCTTGCCAAAGTTGGCTCTGTGGTGAAGAGTGTGCCCACCGCGGTCTCACACCAAAGCTCCACTGTTGTGCACAACTCGGCTGTCTCTGTTGAGGATGTCGTTGCTCCAGCCGTGAAGACTACCTACTCTGCGCCTGTTGTGCACTCTGCTCCTCTGGTGCACTCAGCTCCAGTTGTGCACTCTGCTCCTTTGGTGCACTCAGCTCCAGTTGTCCACTCCACCTACGCTGCTGCTGCTGCTCCAGTTGTGCACTCTGCTCCTTTGGTGCACTCAGCTCCAGTTGTCCACTCCACCTATGCTGCTGCTGCTCCTTTGGTGCACACCACCTATGGTGCTGCTGTGGTTGCTGCTTCTTCTCCACTCACCTACACCGCTCACGGTCTGTGGTAAGCGAAGTGGAAATTTGATGACCGGAATGTTTGGCAACGGATTGAATTGTGGATTAGAGTTGGACGGCTAAATTGAGAATTTTGTGATTTTTAGTTTTGTAAATAAAATAAAGCAAATTTAAAGGAAAACCCATTTTTTATTCACAACTATAGAAAGGGGTTTATCTAAAGGCGGTCTCCAACGGCAGGCAATGTCAAGTCGCCGAGATTATTCGCATAAGTGCATGTGTTTCTTGGAAAGGCCTACAACTTTTGATCTCTTCGCTCGGGTGACAACATCAAAATGCTGTTGAAGGGAAAATGTCGTTGATATACTAACGATAAGGCTGAAATATTACCCCACAGGGATATAAGGTATATACTTGGTATCTCCCTTAAATTATGAAAACTTCTACTAAATTCAAAAAAACAAGTCATAGAAATTGTAAACAAAAGATGTCAAGTGAAACCAACGTCGTCATATTCCCAAAATATTCATCAAGCTTCTGACGGTGGCTTCAATTGCCGAAGGTTGGAGTGCTATTATAACTGCTTGCCAACCAAAGAATGCCAGGTAGAGCCCTTTCTAGGAAAATGGTCAGATGCTTCATTACCAGGCATACCTGAGTGACCTAGTACACAAAGTAAAAAAAGGTCCTGATATTTTCGAACATAATTTAGTCGAGACTTACATGACCAAATTAATTTGGCAGTAGCTAGAAGGCTAGCCTTGTGTGCAGCGTGCCTATCACAATAGACATGGAAGCCCCTACCTCTCTACATATTTTCCCCACCGCTGTCCTTGGCCTTGAGGATTGCAAATACCTCGGTTTGAAATAACCAGGCATACATATTTATTGCTTTAGAGTAAATTGAAGAAAATACCCTTTAACTTTATCATAGATTCCAGATCCTATCCCTGTGGCAGTGGTGGAGCTATCAGTAAATATCCAACAATGTGTAAGCAAGAGCTCAGTGCATGGGTTCAGTGCACGCAATTAACCTCAGGGAACCCAACATTATGCATAGAATATCCTCAGCAAAAGTAATGGTGGCGTACTATTCTGTATGATTGAAGTTGTGTCCAGATCTTTGCCACCAACAATTGTCGCCTTGCTCCACTCATTATCATATCAACGTCCACTTCCTGCCTGGCCTGCGGTTAGCCTATAGCACCTCGCCACGTATAAAGGTGCAAAGTGATGGCAAGTGTGGCATAGAGAAGGCTCCCGTGCAGCAAATAGCGACTGTCCCTTGAAGTTTTGCAAGCATATTTTCTACGGTATTGCTTGAGAGTCCGTAGATATGTTTACATTCCCAAAATGCCACCAAGGCTTTTCAGGTTTTATGCTGAACGTGAAACCACCATGAAAGTTTGGTATCCAGAATCACTGCTAGAGACTTGACATGGAAAGAAGTCCATTCCCACTACACCAAGTGCCAATAAAATTCAGTGTTCTATGCGCTTTTATGTGATTAACTGATATACAAAGGGCTCCAATGAGGAAGGCCACATCATCTGTATAGGCCTAGATGCATGTATTAGAACCACTAACGACTTCTTTGTACCTGCCAAGGTTAATTTCTTCTTATTGATGGCATTGCTGATTCTCGAGCCCCCTTTTCACAATTCCTAAACTTCTGATGCTTTCTAATCACCCATTGTCCCTGAAGCTCAGCCTTTTAGCAACCAATACAACACAGCAGAATACTCGCGGCCACTGTAAAGTGGGAGGACACTGTGAGACAAGCCTCGGTCTAACCAAGTTTTCGTCCAATAGCAAATAGAATGCTGATCCCACGTAAGCCAGCCAATCAATATACGATCTATTTCAACACCCAGTACCGCTTTTTGGCTATTAAGTATATGAACTTTCTCAACTGTGTAAAAATGAAAAAAAAACTTTATTTACGGAATACGAAGATCGAATTTAGGGCTTTAGAAATCGATTACTAAAGGTTGTGTGACATTGTTCGACGACGTCCTGTTGAAATCAAAAGTCGTTCAAGCCGGTATCAATATACGCATAATTTGAATAACCACAGGAATATAATTTTGGGAATAAGCGCTGAGTCCCAGTCGACTTGAACCAAATAAGACTTCCTATATCCATTTAAACGAATTCGCGAGAAGTTGAAATCAGTTAGAGCAAAATAAAATCACAGCCATTTTCGTTTATCTTCGGTATATAATTTGTTTATTTTTTCGTAATTTCGTCAGTTCTTCAATAAATAAATAAACCAAAAAAAAAAAATCAAATAAAATAATTTTTCTAAAAAAACACAGGCAGTCCAACTAAATTCGTCTAAATCTCAGATCGTTTACCACAAGCCAGTGGCGGTATAGGTGAGTGGTGAGGCAACATGCAACTGGGTCAGTGGAGCGGAGTAGTGCGCAACTGGAGCATGATGCAACAGTGGGGCAGCGGCAATATGATGAACAGGTGCAGAGTGCAGCTGCACTGCTGCCGGAGCAACAGCAGTCTTCAGCACAGTCGCGGGGGCAGCCACAACACTAGTTCTCACAGCAGGTGCCACAATATCCTGAACAACATGTGCTGAGCTATGCACAATCGATTGACTTTGATGGGAGACGGCAGTGGGGATGCTCTTCACCACTGAGCCCACTTTAGTCAGAACGGGTTCATGAACGGCAACAGTGGCGGCGGGTGCCGCTGCGTACACCACTGGATGGGATTCGATGAGACTGGGACGAGCAGCAGCTACGGCCAGGAGAGCAGACAATACCACCTGTTGAGCAAAAGTAGAAATAAAAATGTTAAAAACTGTATGTATATATTTTTTTCTGCCTTCTCGCCAACTTACCAACTTGAACATTTTGAAAGATTTTTTTTGTGTGTGTTGTTTGAAGGTCTGTATTGACTGAATGCGTTAAAGAACTGATACCGTTCTTCGACGCTGACGCAGTATTTATAGTGACAAACTCCCACGAAACGTACATAAATGTAATAAAACGTACGCAACGCCAATCTTTCACAGCAGCGGCTGGTGCGCTGCTCTTTCAGTGTTGTTGGCGTAGACGACGGCCTTGTGAGCAACTCATAGAGCTCCGGAATATGCGTGCCTGGAATTATGCATACGCTTACTTGCAGGTACGTACATACATACATACGTACGTGGTTACTATTTTCTGGCTTTTGTATACAAATCAATCTATTGATAGGCGTTGGTGTGCGTTCTGTGTAATCGTTAAGGCAATTAGAGCCGCCATCTGAACCAGTTTGGGTGGCGTTAATGAGACAATTTTGCTATTAACGTATTACCATACCATTGAGAAAATAAGCGTCGAAGTCATTGTTTACATATTTACATACAGCGTGTGTAGTTCACCAGCCAGAAGGCTATGTATCTACTATTTGTATCCGTAATATATTCTCATATTCATACTTATGTATGTACATAAATTGTACAGTACGTTCATATAATCACTATGTATGTTAGAAAACGACCACATCGGCATGCGAGCTCGCTTTACCGGCTATTCCATACTTGGTGATCGGCATCAAGGAAGCCTTGCGCAAGTAAAATGAATTATGACTTGCATTTGCGGCCACTAACCTTTATGATCATTAACTTTAAAATTTGTATGATTTAGATTCCCTTTCGTTGTGGATTTGAAGCATAACCTTGTACCACTGTAGTGTTGGAGGATTTACTAGTTCATGCCATGCAGGAAAACTCCTTAATAACCCTTGTGTGAATTCCTTATTTTCGAACAATTTCCGCGCCAATGAGGTAATGAGCGAGGTCCATAGTTAGAGTGTGTAGTCAAAAATGACAGTCGTCTGTATATTAGGGTGGAGCGAAAATAATAAATTTTTCTGTTTCGCAATTCGAATAGTGTGGAAACATTGTGCAAAATTATACCATTGAACTCCAGGAGCCTGAAAGTTTCGAAATATTTCTCAAATTGTGCTCCTTAAAAAAAAAAATAAAATATATATATATAAAAATCGAGAAAGACTTCAAGTATTCCGTTTTGTAGCGTATTACATATTTTCCGCGCTAACCAATAGAATTTCCAACTCAAAATATTTTTTTTTCGCTCCATCCTAATGCATATTGATGTTCACGAAATGCATCTGTATGGAGTTATAAATCATTGTATTTACAAGGAGCCACTCACAGGGGGCCATCACATTTTAGCTGTAACTATAAAGCTCTACTTGTTATCTGGCTGAGTTACCATCCGCCAAAAAAAACTGAGAGCTCCTTGAGTGATGAATGGTTTTCATAGGCTTGTGCCGGATATCGTCCCAATCTCATTTATTGTTCTTCTTTTCGCTTTCTTCTCTTTTCATTTTTAAAATCAAATATTTCTTCTTTTTGTTCCGAACTACTCAGAACTAAGTCAAACGTAGATCGCAAAGGAGATTCTGAACGTTCGGTACGACTTACTGCCTTGCGATATAATCATATAACTCGAGTCTACATATGGCACACTTTCTTGTCATGTGTATTAATTCAATATTTACTTTATACTATCAATTTAACAGAATTAAAATTTTCAAATAGGCTTCAAAAATATTTTCGACTGTAAAGTTTCTTAACCGTTTCTTAACCTTAGTTTGAGACCCGTATTGTAATACTATTTCATTTATTTTATTAATTTAATTGAATACAAGTTTTCAAACAGGTGGAAACCCTCCTCGAAAATATTTTTGGCAGTAAACATTTCTAAGCTTGTTTAGTTTGATACCCACATTGCAATATTTAATTTGACTTATCAATTAAATCAAATTAAAATTTTCAAACAGGTGGCAACCTTCCACAAAAGGATTTTCGACTGTAAGCCTTCGTAAACAGCATTATTTTGACAGCTATCTTACAATATTTACTTGATCTTATCAATTTACTTAAACTGCAATTTAAAAATAGGTGGCAACTCACTAATTATCTTTTTACTATGACTTAAGTTAGATCTTTAGCAATGCACTGGTTAAAAGTGTATTCAATTCCAGGCATTCGTTTTTGAGTGATGCGCGTACAAACATACAGACGGACAAAAATTCTAAAAATTTTTTATATAGCTTCTGTCGGTCTAATAAAGAGCCTCATATAAATACTTCTTTAATATCCATAATGTACAGACATCTGCCTGTTACAATCTCTCTTGGC